AAGCATTAGCGCGAAACACCGCAAACAATTACCTACACAGTACAGGAGAAAGTTTTGACAGGTGCGAGACTGAAATTGATCTACGAGACTACGAGGGCTGTTACTAGACGCTCACTTAATTTATACTAAAAATACAACCGGCCAGTCTACCCTATTGTTGTACTCTATGAATATTCCGCTGGCTTTTAAGGCACTTTTTTGTTGAGATTTTTTTAATAATCGCACCTATAGTTATGTAAATAGAATAGATATTAGTGTGAGCTTTAACGCCCACATCATAAAAGGTCGCTAAGAAAGATTGGAAAATATTTTTCTGGATGTTTCCGGTACTAAGTAAGTTTCTGTCAGGTATTGTGTGCCCACGCTAAATCAGCGGCGTGGAACATCATCAACACTTAACTCAAATGTCAACCAATAACAATTTAAATAAAAAAGACGTTATGAAAATTTTTATTCACCTAGTTGATTTCAAAAAGGTGAAATGTTTTGATGATAGATATTCATTGTTTTTACAGATAGGTAATTTCCAATAGGATAAATCATGGCTTGACCTTACGTAGCCACAATTTATAAATAGAAAATTATTCGCAGGAACATGTGATACAATGGACCTTAGTCTAATTTTTATAGTACCATGTATTCCACCTTTTCCAAGCATGCAAATGTTTGTTTATAACATTACATACAATATTATAGTTTAATAACATATAGGTAGATACTGGGCCGTAAAGGAATCCAAAAGCAAAAAGCTAAACGAGACAAAATAATTATTTATATAAAACTCCACATTAATAGTAAAACATAAATATAAACGTCGTAATAATTGGAATCAATTAGCAATTACCGATCCAGACAAATTACTACGATGCATTACGAATAATATTTTACAAGACCCTTTTGATGTTATCCTATCAAAGGTTCACAGGAATCAAATGATCTTCATTAACTTAAAAGTAGTAAATAAATTAAAGTCACTTTGTTAACGATGCCCCATTAATTTTACACTGAAGTTAATGTTAGGTAAGTTCTAGCATAATTTAACAAATAGGTACTCAACTTAAATAAATTGGGTCTAGCACTGACCAAAAATATTCCAGGTCAATTTTAATTCAATGGAATGGGCTAATTAATATAAATATGGATAGCCGAAGGCATGAACGAAATTACGGACATAAACCAACATTTCCACTGAACTTATCTAATGGAATATCCATTAATATAATTCTTGGATATGTAAAATCAAGTTATCATTTCTTCTTGGAAAAGTAGACACGAGTTTTATAAAACATTTTCCCGTTAAAGGCTATGGGCGTGAATGCCAACAATGTGTCAGGTATAAAAATTGCAGCGGTGTTTGAATAATGGAAGTTAGCTCCTTTAACGCCTCTAGGCGTCCATCATATGAAATTGCATTGAAACCTTTCGAGTGAGTGGATAGATTTTCCGGGAAACATTGCAATGTAGCATATTATTTGATTTTTAAAGCATGTCTGTTTATATTTTTGGTATTTACAGGGATATTTTATTTACTAGCTCTGTGAGATGTTTTATAGATTTTTCCATATAAAGTCAAAGTCAATGAGTCGGGTCGGGTATGAAATCCCCAAAGCAGTAGACACAGGTGCACATTACGGCACTTAATGCCACTGTACAATGTACCACCTACTTTTTACTATTTATGTTTTGAGTCCCATGTGATTGGGGTGCATTTTCGTATTTAAGTAAAACTTAACACCACATCCCCACAGTTATAATTATGTGTTACATTCCTTCTTATTTAACAATTTTATCTTCTAAAGTGTGCGTAAAGATAACAATACAAAGATGATGCCTTTATTTTATTTCGATACCATAGAAAAATATCTATTAGCACCCACAAACGTTCATCATCTCCATTTCAAAATAGGAAACCATTATTCATCAAAAATAAATTAGCTTTTATCTTAAAGATATATAGACAGGTAAAAATGTCGCATTTATTTGAACACGATCATTTGACGTACTCCAGGCGTAAGTAAGAAATACAAGAAATAAATTGTCAGTACGTCAATAAATGTTGAGGTGATAAAACGCAGACGTAATGACTGTCTGCTGGAAAATAGTCGACTCGACTCACTGTCGACGTATAATTGAAATGTCCAATGGACAAGTCGAAAACCGTTTCAGGTGGCTATTTTTTTATCCACTGTATTTTTAGTCATTACTTAAATAATGTACTCTCTCTCTAATAATGACACTCTTAAAAAAATATATGTTTTCGAACGGTTTTGTTAGTACTTAAGGTAAGAGGTTAACGTCAATTTTAAAACCAGGCAAGAATAATGTACTAAGTTTCCCGGCTTAGTTCATTCTTAGTAATTAATACAATACAGAACTTACAATAATAATAGTACTCGCTGAAGACTTGTCACTTGTATAAAACAATGAACATCACGCCTTTATCCCGAAGGAGTAGGAAGAGGTGCACATTACGGCACTTAATGTCAGAGCACAAAGTAACACCCACTTTTCACTAATTATGATGTGTGGGGGGTGAACCTATTGCCCTATACAGGGCACATTTCCAGACTCCGTGCCACAACTGAAATTTTTTTTTAAAAAACCTAGCATATATTTTTTTTGTCCTACCCGGGAATCGTACCCGAGACCCCTTGCCCGGCAGTCGTACTTGCGACCACTCACCCAACGAGGTAGGTAGTCATTCATAACATTACTGTCAAAAAGAAGACCCACAATTATAACCACTCGAACAAAAAAGGACTAGTAGAAATACAAGTACATATATGTATATGCTTTAATACACAGAGTACCGTAAGCGGTGCTTCTGTCAGTGTTTAATGCTCGCTCGTAAAAGGATATTACAGTTACATATTTTTTGTTTTGCGTCTCATATATTGCATGACCCTGGGCGGGATTCGTTGGGCACAAAACATCAGTTAGCTTCATTAACTTACATTGTCGTTTTAAATATGATCCTTTTATCTTTATCCATATGAATAATAATATCACTCTCAGCAAGAGAGTAAAACTCGAGAAGGACTGCATCGAAATGTTGACTTATAACTTTTACCTGATAATGTACAGAATCACATTAATTTACGTACACACTATCACCCTTTAAAGAGTTGACTACTAATAATTCAACAACTCATCAAATAAAGTTTCACTCTTACATACAACTTACGTATTTGATATTTTAATGTAGTCCTCATCGAGACACAACGACTGGTTTCAACTGGACTAGCCACGAGTACGTGTACAATGTACGTAATGAACAAGTATACACCTCCTTTAGACCAAAAACTTCACCAAATGCTTACCAATGCGCTTCACATGTCTTTAAATAAACGAGGCTGTCATAACTGACAAATAAAATATATCATCCAAACGAATTATATTTACACCGTAATGTCCTGACCGAACCGCCCTGAGAACACGGTGGAACACACTGTGGCGGAATGCCCTGCGTGGGCTAAGCACCAAGTGATAGGCGATGGCGACCTCTCGCGTCCGGGCCTAGTGTAGGTCATGATATGGAGCGATGGGATGCCGTCTCCTCCTTTTGCGAAGCAGTTATGTTAGCTAAGGAGGAAGCGGGACACGTGAGACAGCAAAGCGCTGCATCCTCGCAACCCAGCCATCGCGAAGGACACACCCGGCGTCGGGGATCGCGGTACGATCTCCGGCCACTGTAAGCGCGGGCCTGCGGACGGCGAGCATGGGTGGCTCACCGTCCGACGCGCCTCAAAGAGGCGTCAGACCAACACAGATGGGGCCCTGTTGGGCCCCATGTGCGGTGCAGCATACGATGCAGTCATACGATGAATTTCCCCCATTAAAAAAAAATTCTGACCGAAAATTTTAATCCTCTTAAAATTCAGTTCATCATTTTTCTAAAAACCAACATTACTTGTCGTATTTCATTCCAACGTCCAATTTGATACGGCCTCGGTTGCGGTAAATATCTTAAATAATCTTAATGTAGAACGAACATGGCATTTCTACTCGGATGAAGTTAATCCAATTAAAAAAATAACGGTTCACTTATTACGAGGACGTGAAAAAGTAATAAAAAAATATATAAAAATATTGCAGATGTATTATGGTCGCATGGTGAAATTGCTATTTTGGTTTGCGTTTTCCAAACATTCTTAAGACGCGAGTTTTCATTACGAAGGCTATTTTTGGAATCAAGTGGAACGTGAAATGAGGTAGCTTTGAACAGTGAGCAATGCTTACTTCTTTTCATAACACATCTGAAGGTGTACTCAAAGAAAGTTATCTTCATGAATTTGTTAATTATCTAAGTGATTTTTAGGTTGTAGCCTGGCTTTTCACTTGAGAATCTTCTACTTTTCGGCAAATCCACTCTCCTTACCTTTTTATTTGATAAAATTTGCTTCGATTTGTTTGGTTCTATCATGAGGGTCGAATGGCAAGAGTTCTAGGATTTTATTTCGAGTTTATATTCAGGAATTTTCCCCGACTGGAGGAGAATAATTTTTAATTCTAAGAAACGTGTATTATTTCGTCAATTTCCCGTAATAAAAAGTCGACAGACGAAAATTGTGACATTGATTATAACGAGTATTCCAGACGTTTCAGTGTCACAATATAATTTACTGCGGTTGAGCTCAAAATATAATTAGATTAGTTTAAAATGCCAAGAACTAAAATTCTAGATAGTGTTAGTATTTGAAAAACTGTGATAAGAAATATACATTTTCTTTGACCTTACAATTATTATTTCAAAATGAAAGTAGGGTTACAGGACTCTAGTCTATCAACCCACTTAGGACTGACTTTACCAACGCCACATTTTTACGAAGGAATAATTTTAATTATTGACTATTCTTCTATACCTAATAATAACTGTCAAATGTTCATTTCTATAGTTAAAAATTATCGGTTGATTGGAAATGAGTCCTTAAAAAATATAATGTATTATATTCAAGAACAATATTTTCTGGTTTAAAACTGAGATGATATATTCCACAAACCTTATACGCATCAGGTATGTTGACGGGCTCTCCACTCTCGGCGACATAGCCGACGATTCCGCTACCCCACGGTATTCTAATCTCTTCGAGCTGTTCCATCTGCTCGGGCGTTGACTTCGAACAGACATCGAACAACTTCGACACCAAACACCTGGAAAAAATAACAAAAATCAACAAAGAGAAAACCTACATTTCAAAAAGAGACGGAAATAAAATATTCCCAATATGGCATATTGGCTGAGCACAGCACTACTCCGTACAGAATAAACACGAGCACCGAACATCGCAGTATCAAATTCTATAGAGGTGCAAATATTTTCATGTTCCATTTATCCCGAATAATGCCAACCTCTATTTGCGTTTCAATAAAAAACAATGCCCGTCACTTTTTCGATACCAGTACGATTTATTAGCCGGGTTCACAAATGGCCAGGTGCGATATGAATAAAAATAGTTTTACAGTACTACATTTTATTACTATGAACAGTAGACAAGCAAACAAGACAGGCATACGACAGGCATAATCGAATTCCCAGTCCCTCTCGGGGAATTTTCCAATCGGCAAATAGGAAGAAGAATCCGTTTAATAAAACCTCGAGAGCCATGTGTCGTTGGCGCATGTGGTCCGCCTATGTATAAGCAAAGAACGATACACGTGACATTTAAATCTATTACATTAAAGTTCTAATTGTAACTAGATTTATTTCCATGGGATTATCTGATGCATAATTGTATCCTCATTCTGTAATACGCATTTAAGTACCACGTTTGCGATTTATGTTCTACGATTTGTTCATACGACCGCACCCTCAGAAGGTAATTAATGGTACTATGATAATGAAGTACTTATTTATTGTTTACAAATGAATCTGACATCACCATTACCATTATTATTCTCCATATATCTCATTCATTGTCCTTCGTTATTTTATTACCTAATGGTAACATATAGGTTATACATTATTGACCTTGCGACCGACGATTGCGATTGACTATGAAGAAGGTTTTAATTTTTCTTTAAGAACAAGAACTTTGGACTATATCTTGCTTGAATCAAATCAAATCAAATTATAACAGATGAGGAAACCACAAAATAGCTTCTTCCAATTTTTGACGCCTACCCCTACCCTAAATGATTTTTCACAAGCGAACAAACTCACACGGAAACAGCTACTTACAGCACACAATGACATTACGTCAGCAGAATCTTGGACTCCCCAGGAAGCATCCTCCTTAAGAGCTCACTCAAACTCAATAAAACCCTCAGACGAGAGGCTTAAGTGGCGACTACACACGTAACTTCATTTTCGTTCAGTCAAATTGAATAATTGGATAAGCTTTATAAGAGAAACACGTTGACGCCTTAACGGCTTTCGAGAACACTTTCATACACATCTTTATGTTAAGCGTTGATCATTGAAGGGTGCACTTCTGACTCAGTAAAGGAAACATTTTGAAAGTATTGTTATATGTACTTGCTACACAGACAACTGATATAATACATTAAATTAGAATTCTTTTTTTAGATTCCAAACTGCACAACTTTACGAATTACATAGGTGATTTAAGAAAATTCTTGACACTTCAACAACGAATAACATAAAACTTCCACAACGAACTCTTTCTACACACAATATACAATATTATAATGTAATACAATTTAAGAAGTGGTATGCAAAGTAATATTTATGTTCAACAGCGGAAAGGGCGACAAAAGGGGCAATAACATAAGTAAGGCAATAAAATCCTTGTTACGATGACAAATATGAGAGTGCGTATAGGAGGATATACATATAACCCTCCAAACTTCATAGCTTGTTTCACTCCGTTATGATTTCCGCGTACGATACATGGCACACTTGAGTACTTGACCTTCACCTTCGGATTGGCAACTGTTTCCACCCGCGACTCCAGGGAAGTTTTAAATGTTACTTCGTTTATTATTCAGTCGGTGTCGATGTTCGGGATTGAGAACGATTTTTTACGCATGTTGTGTAACTGACTTTTTAAATAAACGAACAGTTTTTGTTACGGTTTCATAAAATGCTGCAGAAAACATAGCAAAGATTATTTAAAAGTGTAAATTGCACCATCAAAATCTAAAACAGACAATTAAAATTATAAGTTACTTATCACACACACACCAAACGATGATGGTAAAAATTTGGAAACAATAGTTGCCATAACAACGATCTGACCTTAACCTTGACAATGTCCGCTGTACATATTATCGCATAATTATTTAGATTTAATTAACGCATTTTAACAAAAGGTCAGATTAACCATTAGTGAAAAAAATTCGCAACAGAAACGCGAATAAGAACAAATAATAATTGTTGTTTAACAAAAGAATAAGCTCTACTGCTTAGAGATTACATTACGTAGGAGTAGTCATAAATCATTGTATGTACCTACGCCAACAATTTGTTATCACGGCATTTTAATCTTTAAGATAAGGTAGACGGAAGTCACTTTGCATAATCATAATGTATCGTTCGACTTCTGTTTCACATTTCCGATCTTACGTCACCGATTTCCACATGATTAGGTACAAGTAATACACAAGTATGTGAGATTACAGAGTATGTTTGTACTGTAATAAAATTGATGTTTTGATGTTCTTTGATTTCTAGTTTACGAGTGTATTGGTTCGATTTATTCGATTTTTGCGGCCTCTTTCAGAATATTCTTAGTAGTTTCATTATCTACATTATGCCAATACATCGTTCTCCTTTCTATCTTTTGATATTTTCTTTATAAAATTGATATGCATTACTTGGAATAACAAATTACTTTACTATCAACGTTAGTAATCACCCTTGTAAGCACTGAACCAAGAATCCACTTCAGTAAGCAATTCTTCTTTTCTACGCGTAGTTCTTCATAATCATGAATATCTAAGGTATCCATTTTATTATTTTAGCTTCTTTGCCTTACTGCCAATGCTCAATCAACCTAATATTGTATACCCTCTCCGATTGTGAATTCAGGAATTGTAATCCTAATAAAACCGTGATTCCATCAAGGACATCATGTTTAAAATGAATACGGCTAAATTATATTTCTACAATTGATAACTTCATCTCGATTTGTCACAAAAATAACAGCATTTTTGACACTTGATATAATTGTAGGATTTACATGCGTAGAATTACGTTCTATAATTGGCCAACAATTGGTACCTACCCATTTGGTAGACCACAAATTAATTAGTTGTCCTGTGATTAGCCACAACCACATTTCAGTGAAAGCGATACAGAGAGCAATTGCCAAATATGCATGTATGGCCCTTTATTCAAAATGCGTATAAAACATAAATATAACTAGCCGTACTGCGTATTGGATTGACGCCAAAATCCATATAACCATGGACGTTAAATTTCGCAACCGGCTTTGTTCTTCTAAATATTCCATAGGATTTATGGAATACGACGCATGGACACTGATCGTAAAAATATAAACATGCATGGAATAGGGATGTGAAACAATATAAGAGGACCTTTTGTATCGAAACCGTTCAATGACAGTCTTCCTTTGTTTTATTTAAAATTCCTTCATCGTGTGTGACCTTGCGCTTAGTGTCTGCCTACGCGAAATTCTGAACGTCCCGTTTTTCGGCATACTTATGATTTTTGTATTAGAAAACCTTATTGCCAGCCAGTAAAGATCTTTGACGGTAGCGTACAATTGCCTCTACGTGGGTGTTCGTTTATTGTATTATTTAAAACAAAAAACTCAACTAAGGCGTTGTGGAAGACTACGTTTAAACTCTTAATTAATACAAAATTTAATTTCTGTATCCTATAGAGCTGTAAAGAGTAGGCAATTCTAATACTATGCCAACATTTTTACCTTCAAAAATTGTATAGACTGGCACACCTCATTAAAATTTCTATATAAATACGCAAATATAACATTGGAAAATGAGAAATGAGGCCTAATTAGTAGGTATTTGCTTACAACATTATCTATATTTATCAGTGTAATTACGATCGGCAAATAAAATCAGATATTTCGTCCATAACAAAATATTCCATCATGCTGTAGAAAAACATCAATATTGTTAATAATCCAGAAAGAGGTATAAACACAGTACTCAATAGCACTAGCATCGGTTACCAGCCCTTCCTTGTACCACGGAAGCTTATTCCCTGCAGTTTGTTTTTTATCTAGTCGACAATTTCCAGTATTTCACTTGCTTTGTCTGTCTTTTGTTTGTAGATTCCGAATTAATATAACATTCTAGTTTGTCTTTGTATTTTTATTACAATCTGTGTTACCCTATTACTCTTTAACATCGTTTCAAACCGAACTGTCCAAATAACATTGAGACTTCTTATTCTAAAACTCTTCGTATTAAGACGTACCTGATCTAGAATTGTGTTTCATGTGTATTTTCCATATTCTCGATCCTTATTTCTCTTACCTCCACCTTCTCCTACTTACGTAACGTTATTACAATCCGCAAAATCATTAACTGAAAACTTACCCAATTTCCACCACCAAATATCAAGTACCCAATTTAAATAATTTACAATTATGGCTTCCAATTCTTTGGGCAACCTTCATTACATAGAAATTAATTGGATATCGAACGCCTTCGATTACGGAATATTTTAAAACAAGCTAGTCGGCACGTCGTTAAACCGAACTATAGGAGAATCTGCACGGCCGGACATTTCCCCGGGGCTTTCGGCTTCTTCCGATACCCGCATTTTAATGGTTATGTGCAAGATCTTAAATATTAACTGGCCGATATTGGCTCAATGGTTTCTAAATTGCCAGACTCATAACTACTACGTTTGTTTGGACGCCTGCAGTCACGACGAGTGATAGTGGAAAGGAATTGAGTAAAATGGCTTTTAAACATCAGCTCCTCTTGCTTAAAGGCCAGAAGTTCCTTTACAATTCAAAAGTCATACGCAATGCTGTGAAGAATAAATGAATCGTTAAACTAAGATTTATGTGGTTTTAATTAGCTTTTTATTGGATTCTATTCTCTTTGATTCTGTTCACGTAACTTGTTTTCTGTTATTCGACGAATGGGTTGGAAGGGGTTTTCAATCAAACAAAGGTTTTTGTAAATCCAAAATGATCGACTGAAGACATATTCCGTAACACATTAAGTATGTTTACATTCATCGAATTTAA